TTTCCAGCCCCCCCCCCCCGGTAACGGATCCTTGCACCTGTTGTCCGCGCGCTCGGATTTAAACCGTGTTCACATCGCTCGCTCGCGGGCTGTAACCAATCAGGAGTAAGTGGGTGGGGCCTGCACGTGTCGTGTGGAGGATGCAGCCAATCACAGCTCACCAACCCCAAGCAACCGTCACCGGCCCCGGGTCAGTGCGAGGTCACATATAGGATCCGCACGGGAGCTCCTATAGAATCGGTACCGAGCGCGTTACGGGAGCTCCTATAGAATCGGTACAGAGCGCGCTACGGGAGATTATAGAATCGGTACAGAGCGCGCTACGGGAGCTCCTATAGAATCGGTACAGAGCGCGCTACGGGAGATTATAGAATCGGTACAGAGCGCGCTACGGGAGATTATAGAATCGGTATAGAGCGCGCTACGGGATCTCGTATAGAATCGATATAGAACGCGTTATGTGACCTACATATGCTATAACATAAAATTATGAAGGGAATAGATAAGGTAGAAGCAGGGAGGCTGTTTCCTCTGGCGGGTTAGACTAGAACGAGTGGAGCATAGACTCAAAATAAGGGGAAGCAGATTGAGGACTGAGTTGAGGAGGAACCTCTTTACCCAAAGGGTTGTGAATCTGTGGAATTCCCTGCCCAGTGAAGCAGTTGAGGCTTCCTCAATGAATGTTCTTAAGGCAGAGATGGGTAGATAGATTTCTGAACAGTAAAGGAATTAAGGGTTATGGTGAGAGGGTGGGTAAATGGAACTGGAACTGAGCCCGCAAGAAGTTCAGCTAGGATCTTATTGAATAGCGGAACGGGCTCGAGGGGCCAGATGGCCTCTTCCAAGTCCTGGTTCTTACGTTATAGAGCTCCTATAGATTTGGTATCGAGTGACATATAGGATCCACACAGGAGCTCCTGTGGAATCAGAGTGAAATATAGGATCCGTACAGGAGCTGCTACAGAATCAGTATTTAGTGAAATATAGAACCCATGCATGTGCTCCTAAAGAGTCATAACTTGAAATATAGAATCAGTCTAGGAGCTCCTAGTGAAATATAGGATCTGTGCAGGAGCTCCTATAGAATCATGATCACTTGAAATATAGGATCAATCTAGGAGCTCTATGGAATCAGCATAGAGTGAAATACAGGATATATCTAAGGTCAAATATTGAATCCATGTAGGAGTAAATACAGGATCCAAAAAGGAGGTAACATAGGATCAGTATACAATGAATCTCAGAGTGGCTCTTGTGACACAATGGTATCATTCCTACCTCTCACTGTAGAATCCATGTGTGAGAGAATATAGGATGCAGTTCCCTCCAGGGATTCTCCCTCTGTCTTCTCTTAGGCTAAACCTCCAACTTTGTTTATAACACTAATAACTCTCTGAGAGAAGAAATTCCACCTTGTCTCCATCTTAGCTGGGAGCTCCTTATAGCTCAATAGCCAGGACAAAACTGTGTTCACTCCAGTAAGGCACAACACTAAATTTGATTCAACTGTTTTTTGATGCTGTAATAACCCAGATATTGAATTCTATACTGACCCTATAGCCCATAATCACATTTATGTAAAACTTTTATTTTGACATTCATAAATAAGTCTACATTTATCTATCATATTGACCTATTTATTCCATGATTGTATTTGGCCCTACACCAAGCTCATATTTACTCTTGTATTGACCTGTAATTTAAGCCCATGCCAACATCCATGTTAAGCCTGTATTTAGTCCTATGTTTACCAATATATTGAACCATATATTAACTCTAATTTT